GGCAGGGTTGCCTCGCTGTCTGCCCTGGCTGCAGAGCGCTTTGGATGCTCCCGATTCCTGGAAGCTTACTGTCTTTTGCTAGAGAGAAATACAAACTATTATTGTCATTTGACTTGTCTGTGACAGCTCAGAAAGCAAAAGCTGAGATCCTGCTTCAAATTTGCAGCTCTAGTTGTGGCTATTTGCTCCGTGTCTGTGGTTATCATGGTGCTTTCAGCCCACCAGTGGGAAGTGTCGGCTCTCTTATTTACGCTGATCCTGCTACAGCCCCGCTAAGCCCTACGGACAGTCTGTCTGTATCGGTAGAGCCACTTCCAGCTCATTCCCATGCATTTGCCCAGGACAGCTTTTCCCCTAGGTAGCCTGAGCTGTGGTTTAGATGAAAGGAAATTTGCAGTTTAAAAGCATCCTTCCATTTCAGTGGGACTTTTTCTTTGCAGAGAGTTAACGCTATCATTTCCTACTTGGCTGGGACCAACTGGTATTTCCTTCTCTGGCCTCAAGCTTGGCAGCGAAACCCTCTAACGCAGCGGTGTTGCGGCACTGTGCTGCGCAACCGTCTCCACGATGATAAAACTGCATTTTCTGGCATTCCTTCTGGCTTTCCTGACATCTCTTGTTGAGGTTGTCACGACAGCAGCAGCTGAAGGAGTTACGTAGGTCTGGTTGTGCCCACCTGAGCCGTAAAGGAGAGCAGGCTCCGGACCTCTGCTCTGCACTGGGCATGGGGACACCGCTGTCTGCACCCTTTGGAAAAGGCTGGATCCAGGAGATGGCACGGGGCAGCATCGTAGCACACACAGAGCCTTTCACCGGCAGCAGGCGGGTTCTCATGGGGCGCCTGCGAAGAGAAGCTCTCTTTGCCAACTGGGCAAACTGGGTTTAATTCAGCTCCCCCCAAAAAAAAGTCTCCTGGAACTGAACACACCCCATGGAAAGTGCCCTCCGGCAACTGCAGCAAATCTGAGGGAGGCTCTGCTTATTTCTAGACTAGAAAAACAAATCTAATATTGAAAATGTGGGTAAAATAGAAGCCGCCTTAGCAGAGACAGGCAGGGGAAAGCTGCAGTGGGCAAAGGCTGCCCCTTCCAAATAGGTCTGAAAACAGGAACATTTTGAAACTACCAAAAATCCAGAGCTGCTTCACAGCTGCGGCTTTGTGTGTCACTAAAATCCCTCTGTCCAGTTCTAATCCTGACTTTGCAGTTTGCTATCATGACGTTATAAAGTCAAATGCCACCAGCGATGGAAATAGATATTCCCTCCCAGACAGGAGCTTCAGTAAAGCGTTCCAGGAGGCGGAGGGGGAAGGGCTTCCCCAGCTGAATTTTACCAGAATTTTTACTGGCAGAAAAGTCTCAGTTTTAAAAAAACCATGGTTTTCTGATCAGAAAATGCTCCCCTGGGCCATCTGTCCTCAGCTGTCTGGTTTTCATCACTCTTGTGACATTCCTAAGGCTTGGCAGTCCCCAGGGCTGCTTTGAAGGCACCGAGCAGGATGTGACCCCGCTTTGAAAAGCTTCCACCTGAGCAGCAAATCCTGGCAAAGGAATGCAGGAGAGATGCCCCCCGCATGGCAGGAGGAGGGGAAGCATCGCCAACTGCAAACCTCCGGCTCCTCCGGTAGATGTGCTGGTGCTCCCCAGGGCAGGCAGGCTGGGAGCTGGCACGGGCTGGGTTGTGCGGGTATCTTGCTCTCTGCAGAGCCCCGGCTGCCGCAACCGGCGCGGTTATTTTTGGCGTTTCCCCCTTTGTCATTCAAACACTTGTTATTCTGAGCAGTGCAGCGGTGGGGCAGGCGTCATGTTGCTCCGTGCCCGTGCTTCCCCAGGGAGTAAATGCTCAGCCCCCCTGTTTGTACCGTCCTTTGGGGTCCTCCTCGCCCACCATGTGCCTGCAAACCCCTTGGCCTTTGCCACTGCTGAGCCCTCTGGGAGCAGCCAGAAGGGCAGGAGGTGGGAGGCGGATGGCTGAGCCTTGCCGTGTTTTAGCGAGTCCTGGTTTTCCGCAGTCGCATCATTTAAAATGCGTCCAGGGCTCTCCCAAACACCCACCGCCAGAAGCGCTGCCCTTGGAAGGTGGCCTGAAAGGCTGCAGCTATTTAGACAAAGAAAAGAACCGAAGCTGTTACCCTTCCTCCCATCACTCTCCCTTTTGCTCTTTCCCCTGTCTCTGCCAGCTCGCCAGCACTGGGAACAGCATCACAGAGACGGGAAGAAGCAAGCTGGTGTCTCAGAAAAGTCACACTGGCTGCCGGCAGGACGGCTCCATTCTCTGCTGGCCATCAGATAGCGGAGAAGCAGCTCCTCAGCTTCAGGGAAGAACCTTTATGGAGGCAGAAGACAAGCTTTTGAGGATGAGTCTCCTATAAATAAAACTAAACCCAGTCTAGGGGTCAGTAAACCACCTTTGCACCCGCTAAAGCTTCCTCAGATTTGCACTTGTTCAAGCCAAAACTGGAATATGGACAGGAACCGTTTCCTCCTGGAAACTTGCCGCTGGTTCTGCCTGACATGTCCCCGCTGTGCAGTACCCACAGGGTGGCCCTTGACCTGCTGCTTCCCATCATCGCAAGCTTGATATGGGCCTGGCTGCCGAATGGATGTGGCTGACATTTAGCAGGTATGCTAGTTCTCGTCAGAACAGTGCCTGGGGAGATGCAGCCTGCGCTCACCCATCCAGCCGACGTAACCTGCTGTTTTGCAATCTCGGTCAGCACCTCACTTCATCAAAGAAATGCTCTTGGCTAATACTGGGCGATGTTTCCCAGAAATGGCACAGGCAGGAAAGATGTTTTACTTGGCATAAGCTGGCCTCGGTGCAACCTCTCCAGTGTTGTCTGGGTGGAAGAAACCAACCTGGATGAGTTTGGAGCTAAGCTGGGTTTAGCCATGCCACAACGTCGGAGAGCAGTGAGCGAACAGCGTGAGGAGGCTCAGCCTCCCCTGCTGCCAGCCCCGCTTGCAGAGACCTCTCCAGGTAAAAGCTATGCTCCATTTCTCGTGATGCAGCAGAATCAGAAATATCCCAGCTGCGGGAGGCATGCTTCCAGGATCCCCTTTGTGCAAAGATGTCGAGGCAGTTTGCAGTCCCGAGCCTATTTGGGGCTACCACCTTTAATGCATTAATTTTACATACAGGCAAAGTGAGTCGTTTTTCATCTCTCCCTCGACCACAGACAGACTTGTTGGCAGATCTGGGAAGAGGAGCCTGTGCTGCACCCCCCCCCCCCCCTGCCAGCTGCATCTGGTTGCATTTCAAATTTCAAGCGAGCGCTCGAGCTTTCTCGCAGCTCGATCATGCATTTTTTTGGTGTGTTTCAGCCACTTCTTCAAGGAACATGAAGAGAACTCAAACACATCTTTCTAACCAAAGTGAAGTTCAGGATTTGCTACGAGCAAAGCATTCGGTTTGCCCAAAATACAAATAGCCATTTCCTCAAGGGCTAAAATTCATGAGGAACCCCAAGAGGCTTCAACCCCCAGCCCTGACTGCTCTGTCCCGGGCTGTTTTGGGTTGACTCGTTACAGTCCTTTGGCACAAGCAGCCGAGTGCCCAGCTCCCTGGGGAAGAGCTGGCAGGGCTGGGCTAGTGCCCGGCAGACAGATCCCTCCAGCACAGGCCTTGCGGGCAGCCCCTCTGGGGCCACTCGTGTCCTCGCAGCCCCCCGGGACTGGAGCATGAGGTCCCTGCAGACCTGCCCGTAGGTTCCCCGCAGGGTGAGGGACAGGGACGTGGCGAGGCTGAGCGCCCAAGCTACCCCACCTCAGCGCCTTTCAGCTTCGTTGCAGGGCTGGAAAGAGCAGCACCCACATCTCGTTGCCGTCCCACGGGGCATCCAGCGCTGCTCCACCGGCCGGGCCGCCCCGCCGCCCCCCGCCAGCTGCGGATCCAGCTGCGGGCTCGGCTCCCGCATCGGCATCGGCACCGGCTCCGGCGGAGCAACAGCGGCCTCCAGTGCCGAAACCTCCTCCCTTTCTCCATCCAGGGACCCCCGCACTCCGCGTCCCGCTGCGCCGGGAGCCGCATCTCAGCTCCCGCCGGCCCTGGGGCCGGGGCATGGGTGCCAGCAGCAAAGCTCCGCAAGGCCACGGCGGGGCGGGGGGGGGGGGGGGTTTTTGGCCGGGGAAAAGGAGGCCTTT